GGCAATCCACTCACCTCAGCCTCCCAAAGGTGCGGGATTACAGGCTGAGCCACCGAGCCGACTCACATATAAACATTTTTAAAGACTTTGGTGAATATTATCTGATTGCCTTCTGGGAAAATTCTACCAACTTTCTTTTTTTTTTAAATAGAGATTGGGTCTCACTATGTTGCCCAGGCTAGTCTTGAACTCCTGGGCTCAAGTGATGTTCCCACCTTGGCCTCCCAAAGTACTGGGATTACAAGAGTGAGCCACCATTCTCAGCCTTTACCTATTTTTTTTTTAGATGTGGGGTACAATTCAGGATTAGGTATCAAGTGGTCATTGTACAGGTAAAGTTTGAGATCAGGTACCCTTATTGATGTTATGTGCCTCCCCTTCCCTCCCCTGGCAGCATCCCGCTATTGCCAATCCCTTTCTTATAGTATTATGGTAAATGTACAGGGTCCGCTTATAAGTGAAAACATGTGGTCCTCAGTTGTTTTGTGGTAGGTCACTGATAGGCTCTAAATCCATCCAAGTTGCTGCAAAGTCTGTTATTTTTCCCTTTTTTATGGCATGGTTGCATGATATTCCACCGTGTATATGTATCACATTTTTTTATCCAGTCCGCTTTCGATGGGCGGCATGGTTGGTTCCATGTTTTTGCTATTGTGAATAATGCCTCTCTACCTACTTTTGATTCAAGCACTAGCTGTAGATATTTATTATAAACAGATTTTTATAATAAAATTAGATTGGTAAAAATAGTATTTCTTTTTTTTTTTTTAACTGAAATCTCACTCTGTCGCCCAGGTTGGAGTGCAGTGTCATGCTCACGGCTACTGCAGCCTTGACCTGCTGGGCTCAGGTGAGCCTTCTACCTCAGCCTTCCAAGTAGCTAGAACTACAGGCACGTGACTATTTTTTTATTTATTGTGGAAATGACATCTTGCCAAGTTGCCCAGGCTGGTCTCGAACCTGTGAGCTCAGGCAATCCTCTCACCTAGGCCTCCCAAAGTGCTGGGATTATAGGCATGAGTCACCGTGCCCAGCCAAGGAAAAATAGTATTTCAACTCCATTTGCTCTTTTGAAAAAGTGGCCAATAAATTTGACCATCTATTCCTGTTTTTTAACCATTTATATTTCTTCCTTTGTGACTTGCTCTTTTATTTGTCTGAGTCCAGGCCCTTGGGGTTGCATGTAATGAACTCAAAAAGGCATATGCGAAACAGGGGAATTTTTTTTTTTAAATAAGAATGCCTGAGTGGCCCCAGGGACTGGGCTGTGAGAAGCAGCTCCCAGCTGGGCTTTGTGGGGAGAGTGGACTTCGACACCCATGCTTTGCTCCCACTTTTTCTCTTCTGCTTCATGGCCCTTGTCCCTTCCTCTGACTCTTCCATCTCCTCTGCTTTTTTCTGTGTACTTTTGCTTTGTTCTATTTTCAGTTTCTCTGGCATTTACCTAACTTTTTTTAATTTAAAGATTATATTTTTTATGTCATCATGTCTATCACTTTTTTCTTCTATGGTTTATCACTTTCATTTTATGCTTAGAAAGGCCTTTTTCATTTTGATATTGTGTGTGTGTGAAGTATATGTATAATGTACGAATTGCATCTGTGCAATGTATACATGAAGTATATATGTACTTAATATATAGCAAATGACTATATATAGTACATTATATATGTAGGTATGTATAGCGTATACCTTATTCTAATTTGGTTTCTTTTTTCCTCCCCTTCAAGAATGAGAAATCCACATTTGGCTGTCAACAGCAAAATAGAAAAAAAAAAAAAAGAACCAAACTTATATTCAATTTTTGCAAGTTTCCCCTGACACCCCTTCCTACTTCTGAACACTTTTTTCTCAGAAAAGAGCTGCGTGACTGAGTTGGTTGTGACATGAATTCAAGGAAATTCTATATAGCTTGAAGGTCATTCTGTGCAGTTTTTCTTTCTTTTGTAAAACATAGATTTTTGTTATGAAAGAAATAGACAGAAAAACTGGAGTGAGTAATCTTTCTACACATGTCAACCAGGGACAGCAGTTATCAGAATTTTACCACATGGTTTCTTTTTTATATCTGGCGTTTATTTTGAGAATTTAGTTCTTTTGAGCAGCCTGTTTTCTTGTCATCAGATCACACTGCCTTCAGTTATGCTATTTTTTAAAAATAGAGTCATGAGTCTTAGATTTCTAAAATGCTCTTTCATGGAATCCTGCTCCATATTTTGTGTATCATTTCCTTCTTAACCCTGACTAGGGATTTTAATAACTTATCTAACTTGATTTTCCTGGATAGTGAATATTTGGTGAGCTCTTTCAGTATTAAGTTTATATTTGCTCAGTAGTTCACCAAATTGCAGATTCTCAGAATTGGAAGGAATGAGGCTAATTAACTGACAATTTCTTGTCACAGGTGAAATAGGAAGATTTGGTTTGAACTATTTATTATACCTTTAAATAAATTTAAACCATCAGAGAAACACTGTTTTAGAATCTGAAAAAAAGTTGATTAATATATTTTTTATAGGAACATGAGTGAAAATTATGAAGATGTAAAATTTACTAGCTAAAATAACCTGAAGTAATCATTTGTATTCTGGCATATTGTCGTCTATCTATTCCATATTTGATAAAATGAGTACAAACTTATTATTGTATATTCTGTATACTTTATTTTCCTGCATACTCATTTTTATGTTATGAGCTATGCTTTGGTGACCCACTGTATACTGAGCATAGGTTCTACAGTCATCAGAGTTGGTGATCAGGTCTAGTCAAAGTTCACCTTTGAAAATCTCTAAATCAAGGACGTCCAACCTTTTGACCTCTCTGGGCCGTACCAAGTAAAGAGGAATTGTCTTGGGCCACATATACATGATATAATATAGCTAGTATATATACATAATAAGGCTTCTTTTATTTTTTAAATATTTTTATCATAAAGTTTGGAAAAATGAGAACAGTATAAAACTAGTGGAAAATTTGACCTTGTTTTTGTAAAACTAATCTATCCATCTCTGGTTCGGTGGAAGTGGTCGCAATTCTGAGTGAGTTCTTAAGGTGCTCGTCAGAAATTTTTGTTCAAATTTTGTTCTTCATGTGCCTTCATAGTTGAAAATAAGCTGCCAGAAAGCAATGTCACAAATAAGGTGTGGTAGTGAATTTCAGTAATGGAACCATGCATGGGGTCACGAAGAAAATAAATGCTTAAAAAACTCATGGTGTTAAATGATGCTGTGGGGTTGCATTACTTGTCTTGGGCCACATAGGACCCTCAGGCTGCAGTTTGGACATGACTGCAATCCTGAGCACCTTTGTAAGCTTCAAATCCAACAGTTAGCGATTGCGTTTTGGGTGTGGCATCTCTTTCCATCTCTCTCCTGATAGTGAGGGAGGAGGTAGTGGCTTGGCTGTGGGATCAGGGGAGAGATTTTCCCCCTTTTGTCACTTTTAGCTGCATTGGAGAAAATTAAATCCTCGTAAGATGTGGCTCCAAATGGTGAGTATTTCATTTACCCGATTGCTTTGCTTCCCCCGAGGCCTGTGATTTACACTCTTGGCATTTATCCAGGGGTGGTCATCAAAATGTTTAACAACCTCAAAAAAATTGATCAGAATTCCTCTGTGTGCCAGAGTTTCCGAGGTGGGGAGATTGGGGAAATATCTGGGCAGGTTGAAGGGCTTCTTAGGGAAGTCGTTGCTAAACAACAGGTATGCAAGTATTTGAGTGTTCTCACAACCAGTGTGACCGAGAACTGCCAGTAATACATCAGACAGCTACATGGAACCACAGGAGTGGGGAAGGGCATGGGCTTCAAGTTCAAACACTGGCTCTGCCATTCAGGGCCTGTGGGACTATTAACCAGTTACTCAACCCCTGGATGCCTCCCTTTCCTCACTGAGAAATGATGATTTTGTTGACTCCTATTTTGTGAAGGTTGTTGGGAAGATTACATGAATTTGTGAAGTTTATACAATAGTACCTTTCACAAAGTATTCTCTTTGTGTTAAACTCATTTCTTTTTCTCCCCGTCAGGCTCCAAAGGAGACTTCGCACTTCTTCAAATTAGGCTTACCTTCCCCTCAGTTCAACCCACAATCCATAGTTCCACCAGCCTTTACATGCTGTAGTTGTAAACGCTACCAGTCATGAATTTTACAGTAACTTGTGGATTACTGTTGTGATCAGTGGAGAGAATTTGGGTCTGACATAATTCTCTAGAAGTATGTAAAAGGGCTACTGATAGCTGTGAAGTCAAGCAAAATTTAGATAGAAAGTTGGCACACGTGTAAAGCGGGAACTATAATTTGAAATCTGTTTTGTTCCATCAAAATGTTGTATGTTTTTTCGTCTAACAAGTTCAACTTTTTGATTATTTAAAATAAATCGCCAGGTGGGATAGCTCACGCCTGTGATCTCAGCCCTGCAGGAGGCTGTGGCGGGGGAATTGCTTGAGCTCAGGAATTCAAGACCAGCCTGGGAAACATAGTGAGACCTTATTTCTACAAAAAAAAAAGGAAAAAGCAAATCATCCCGGTGTAGTGGCACACACCTGTAATCTCAGCTACTCAGAAGGCTGAGGCAAAAGGATGGCATGAGCCCAGGAGGTTGATCGTGCCACTGCATTCCAGCCTAGGTGACAGTGAGACCCTGTCTCAAAAAATAAAATAAAATAAATCAACTTTGAAATAGCAGAAACAGAGCATGTTTCTTAATTTTAAAAATGCTTATCTAATGAACTTAGCGTGGGAAATGTCACACAAACGGTGTAATTTTCTAATATTATTGGCCTTCCATCCCCTCGGAGAGGTATGAATTATAGTTTTTTTTATGATTTGTGTTGGAAAATTTTATTTATTGTAAGATTGTGACTGCTGCTTCATTTTTATTTGTTTATTTATTTTGAATCAGCGTCTCATTCTGTCACCCAGGCTGGAGTGTAGTGGCACGATCATGACTCACTGCAGACTTGATCTCCTGGGCTCAGGCGATACTTCTGCCTCAGCCTCTTGAGTAGCTGGGACTGCAGGCATGCACCACCACACCTGGCTAATTTTTTGATTTTTTTTTTTTTTTTGTCGTGACAAGGTCTTGCTATGTTGCCCAGACTAGTATCAAACTCTCAGGTTAAAGCAATTCTCCCACCTTGGCCTCCTGAAGTGTTGGGATTACGGGTGTAAGCCACTGCACCCAGCCAGTTACTTCCGTTTTATTGAACTTATTCTGTTTCTGAATTATCGAAATATATGATATTTTAGCTTTTTAGATTGTTCAGTGTTTGTATTAGTTTCCTGTATTGCTGTTCTAACAAGTTACCACAAGGTTAGTTACTTATAGCAGCACAAATTTATTGTGTCCTGGAGAGCAAAAAGTTTAAAATAAAAACGCCATCTGGAGGCCTGGCTCTTAGTCCTCTTCTTATGACTTCTCTTTCTCACTCTACTTCTTTTCCTTCTGCTAGCATTGCTTTCTCTCTCTTTTCTCCATGTCTCTGACTTTGTCCTTCCTGGCTCCCTCTTACAAGGACCATATGAGCACACATCATCCAGCCCACCCAGATAATCTCCTGATCTCCAGATCTTTAACTGAATGAGACCTGCAAAGTCCCTGTAGCTTTGTGAAGTAACATATTCCGAGGTTTTGGGGATTAGGATGTGGGCATCCAATGAGGGCAAGTCACTCAGCTTACCACAATTTTTAAATTAATTTTTCTTAGAGTCTCTCATTTGGTTTACTTCATTTCAAAAGGGAAAAGAAATCTCTTCCTTTTGAACACACACATACACACACACACATGCACACACGCAGCAAAGGTGATCCAAAGGTTCCAGAGTTATGTACTGATAAACTGATTAAATATATATAAATGTTACTTTCTTTCTCTTCATTTTTATTATTATTTTTCTATTCCAGATCCTGGGTGTTTGGCTGACGTACAGATACAGGAACCAGAAAGATCCCCGTGCTAATCCTAGTGCATTCCTTTGATGAGAAAACAAGGAAAATTGTTCATAACCTGATCTTGTTCGCTGTCTCTAGTTTTAAGTTAAGCTGGTTGCCCATTTAAGGAAGGAAACAGTATCTGACAAATGACGTTATTGAACGTGGAATTATATAGTTTTACTTTGTTTCTCTAAATATTTTTCTTTTTTCCTTGCTGGAAAAAAATGGAAAATTGTGGTCTCCTCTGAAGCTCGTTGGCACCTGGAATCTCCTGTGTCACAGTGTCGGGCGCTGTCCACTGTGGCCTTTCTTAGCATTTTTACCTGCAGAACAACTTTGTATGCCACCATCGTGTTGGTCATATGGTGAATCTGAACATACATCTCACTGGAATAATTGTGTGTAGCACTGTGCGGTGTAGATAGTTCCTAATGGAAAAAAAGTTGATGTTTATTAAAGTCAGAACATATGAGATTCTATTATGTTGAGTTTAATAAGGGAAATCCAAGTTCCCACTATTTGTTGTCTTTTTAGGAAAGATGTGTTGTGATAAAATGTGTTAATATAAAAGTAATAATTTACTTCTAGTAGTTCTTTTATGATTACAACAGTGTATTCTAGAAATAGCTATGTCTTTAGGAAATTGGGGTTTCATTTTTAACTTTTACAGGTAAGTAGGAAGGAGATGTGATCTCATAAAATGCTCTTATGTATGACATGACTTTCAGCCTTCAGAATGGAATGACTTTGACTAATTCAGGAAGTGTGTCTATATAATCTTGATATTGTTTTATAATTTGAAGTCTAAAAGACTGCATTTTTAAACGAGTTACTATTAATGCGTTGGCCCACGTAGCAAAAAGATATTTGATTATCTTAAAAATTGTTACCTTTTTCATGAAATTTCTCAGTATTGTAACAGAAATTTGTCAAACCCAAGCATATTTGAATGTGATATTCCATACTTTGAAACTGAAATAGTATTGTGGTTCTGTATATTGTGTTAAAAAATTAAAGGACAGAAACCTTTCTTTGTGTAAGCATGTTTGTGGAAAAAGTACCGGAAGAATCAATACATGAATTAAGTGAGGTAGAATTATTTTCTTTCTGTTTTAGCTTCTTTCTAGTGGGCTTAGAGCAGGGTGTCACCCTTTCAGTATATAACCAAGCTATGGAAATAAACATCCAGCATGTACATCTTTTTATTTTTTATCCTCAAGTCTTTTCTTGAAATGTTTCAGTGGTTAGAGAAGCCACTTATATTTATTTGGGAAAAATACATAAATTGTTTCCCATTACCAGAAATTAATAATTTCTTATCTTGCATTCTAGGTAGCATGTGGCATTTTACTGATAATTGTCTTAATAGGTTTCAGACCAAGAAAGAGAGTAAATGGTTGATCTTTATAGGATCTGAGAGCACTTTGTAAGTTTGTCACTTCCAAAACTCTGCCCCACTAGCTAATCTTCCAAGAAAACAGAATTGTGCAATTCCCACAAAGTCATATTGAGTTCTGGGGACACCCTAACAGTGTTCCCATGTATACATACCGTAAGATGGGATCGTAATTGACACATGAAGGGAGATTTTTGAATTCCATATTCCTTTAAGGCATTCCATATTTTCCAGGTTTGTTTTGTTATGTTACATTTTGAAATTTCTGCAAGGTTTTGGAATGTCCTGATGTCACACTTTTCCTAGTGCAAATGATTGCACACAGAAAGGGCGGCGATTCCAGAGAAAACCAGCCCATACCTTGGTTTGTGCTCTAATTTCAGTGGCCTTATTTGGGTCAACCCAGTTTGTGTTATGCATCATCTGAAGTTAAATGATGCATCCTGGAAATTCTGACACAGGGAATGGTCGCTTCTGTTAAATATAGATTGACTGATGTCACCCCGCCTCAGTGTATACTTAAAAACAGAGTGCAGAGGGAACAGCTGTCAGGGTGAGAAGTCTAAACACATTTTTGAAAGTAGCCTGGTGCTGGCAAAATGCATTATAATCATGCTCAAGTTTCATAAAATTGAGCTCATTTAATTAGGGCTTTAAATTATTATGGCTAAGAGAAACTATTATACGTATCTAAACATTGAATAAGGCAAAGATTCAAAGTTATCTAAAAAGATGTTAAGATTTTAATAAAATGAGTTAATGAAAAAGAAAGTGAGGATCTGGAAAGAAGGACTCTTTAGGGCTGCTAAACTATAGGGTTATAAGAGTGGGTAGTAATGATGATTAACTACTCTAGAAATATACATTTTTCCAGGACCAAGGGCAGGCCTATCCAGTGAATCTGGGCTTTGTGTTCCCTCAGGTGGGTCTGAAGGTGATAGGTTACCAACCCCTTCTATGACACTTCCTGTGATCTTTGTGTCTGGGTATATATCTACTGGAAAAGCTTCTGAATAGGTCTGTCCTGAATCTCAAATCTGCTATGAGCCTATGGAGATCAGGCTGATCCCAGGATTATGGAGGGCCACCACCCATCTGTACAGAAATCCTGCCATAAACACTGAGTGTCAGAGGAGGGTGAGTTTGAGGTCAGGGTCTGTCCTCGAATTACAACAAATGTCTGTAAAACAAACCCAAGACTTTAGACATCCTTTCTTGCCTAGCATTTATTTATGATCCTCTTGCCTCAGCCTCCTAAGTAATTTGGACTATAGGCACATACCACCATGCCTGGCTAATTTTTATTTTTTTATAGACACAGGGTCTTGCTTTGCTGCCCAGGTTGGTCTCGAACGCCTGGCTTCAAATGATCCCCTTGCCTCGGCCTCCAAAGTGCTGGGATTATAGGTATGAGCCACTATGCCTGGCAAAACCTAGCATTTCTTTTTAAAAAGGAACTGTTAAAAAATATCTCTCATTCTCTGTTTACACATTTCATTTAGAAGAATATTTCTTAGAACATTTGCCCAGTCAGCCTTGTTGCTAGAGGTAATTTAGCTAGAGAATGTACTAATACAAAGGAACAGAAATTTGGCAATAATTTCTAAAATCTGAGCTCATTGTGGCTTAAATTAATCTCATACTCTGTTATCCAAGCAACAATGTGTTTGGTATGAAAATCAGTTTTGCACGTTCAGTTTAAGTAATATGCTGCTGAATAAAACCTTTCAGAAAAGGAAAGGAAACCAAAAGTGGCGTTTAGTTCTTTGTTCTCCTAAACCAAAACCACCTCTTGCAGTTTTTCTAAATGTTTGCTCAACTCTGTTGAGTTTATTCATTCTTATGAAGATACACTAAATACTCAAAACTTTCACTTTGTAACTGGTGCTAACAAAGTTAGAATCACATTTTTACATAGTATTTCACAGGAGAAAAATACTTGGGCATTGTGATTACATGATTATTCGCATATGGATTGTTCATTTTGTTAGAGATGGCAGAATAAAGTTAAGAACCAACTTTTCCAGGATTTCTTTAAAAATGAGAGGATGTTTTGGATGGGCGAGGGTTCTTAAAAAAGTTTTTGTTCTTAATAGGTGTAAATGTGGCTAGTACATTTGGGGCTAACAAATTTTACACCAGGTGCTCTCTTTGCCAAGGAAAATGACATTACCTGTTGGTGAATGTATTCTAAATAATTTTAAGGGAGCAACAATCCCTTCCCATTCCACGAGAAAGCGGATGGTAGTGGGGAGGGAGAGAGGGAACAGGGCTTGTCCCATTGATGTTTTTCTTAAATGTCACCACTGACATTTATTTGCTTATGTTTTTTGAGTCAGAGTCTCACTCTCACCCAGATTTGAGTGCAGTGAGACTCTCATGGCCACCGGAGCCTCAACCTGCTGGACTCAGGTGATCCTTCCACCTCAGCCTTCGAGGTAGCTGGAACTACAGGTGTGTGTCACCACATCTGGTTAATTTTTTGATTTATTGCTCAGGTAATCCTCTCACCTCCACCTCCCAAAGTGCTGGGATTACTGGTGTGAGCCACCATGCCTGGCCACCACTGACATTTAATTGCTATTTAATATCCTTAATACTTAAGTGCCAGACCACTTCTCATCACTCTCCTTAGGAAAACCAGCTTTTGGAATTCATTTTCTTTTCTTTTTTTTTTTTTAAGTTGTGGGGTACAATTAAGGGATAGGTATACAAATGGTCATAGTGTAGGTAAAGTTTGGGTCTCACTTTGGTTCCCACTTCACCCTTATTGATGAGGTGTGTTCCCTCCCTCCCCTGTCCATGTCCCACTTCTGCCAATCCCTTATAGTGTTATGATAATTGTTCAGGGTCCACTTACGAGCGAGAACATGTGGTACTCAGTTCTTTGTTTCTGTGATAGATCACTCAGTGTTATAGACTTGGAATTCATTTTCAAATGAGAGCTTGCGGGAATTGCCTGTGAGTTCCAATATACGTCAAAGCATGTACTTTGATATCCCTGGAACAGTGACATCATTTTTGCTTCTGTTCAGGATCCTGCTTTTCACAGGTAGTTGAAGTCTTCGCTTCACAAGTTTCCTTTAATCAGTGAAGATGACTGGACCTGAACTCTGACGTTTAGCTCCTTGAATCGAAGAACATTCTATTCTTGCCCTAGAGATCTTTTTCAGATCTTCCCCGGCTCCTATTCTTACCAGTGATTGTTCAACAGAAGGTCCTCTGGAGCGCCTTAGCATTACTGAATGTAAGAAAAAACAACACAAAACAGAGGTAGATAGTCATAGATGATCATTCGAAGAACACTAGCCCTAAAACAGGTGGAAATGGTTTAATCAGGTGTACCTTTTACAGATGCTTTTTGTTAGCATCATATTTTTTAGTTAATTCCTCTCCTCACCCAAACAGATGGATCTCCGATAAAAGTGAACAAAAATTTTATTGTTGTAAAATATATACAGCATAAAACGTATCATTTTAACCATTTGTAAGTACAGGTCAGTATATGCTGAAAAGTATTAAGTACATTCACATTGTTGTGCAACCATCACCACCATCCATTTCCAGAACATTTGAATCTTCCCAAACTGAAACTTCACACCCTAAACAATAACTCCCCATCACCCCTGGCAACCACCACTTCACTTTCTCTATGAAAACTCCACCACGTACTCATATAAGTGGAATCTTACAGTACTTGCCCTCAAGGTTCAACCATGTTCAAATGCCAGGATTCCTTTCTTTTTTTAAGGCCGAATTATACTCCATTGTACAGTAGTAGAATACCACATTTTGTTTACCCTTTGTACCGTTGATGGACACTTGAGTTGCTTCCACCTTTTAGCTGTTGTAAATAAAGCCGCTATGAGCATGGGTGTGCAAATATCTGTTCCCAGCTTTCAGTCATTTTAAGTATATACACAGAAGTGGAATTACTGGGTTATATGGTTATTCTTTGTTTAATTTTTTCTTTTTTACATTCACACTATGTTGCTAATATTTTTATTTGGCTGTTTGAAATAATACTGTCGAATCCTACAGTACTCATCTACTTCTCTGTAGTCAGAGAAATAGTCAAGATATGCTTTCATTTGGAATTTATTTAGACACAAATGAAAGGTTGTGCGATGACAGGAAGGGGGATTTAGTAGAAAGAACTGGCAGTGTGGTTATTTCCATGAGCTTTAAACTTCCATTTTCATTTTTCTATATTCAACTTTTAACCTTTCCTGTGCACATTTTCAGTAGTTGTAATTATAGCATGGGAGTTCTTAAGTCCTTTATCACTTAGGCCTTCACTGTTTCTCCATTATGTTTGTTATTTTTATAGATGAGAAAGTGCATTTTGTGTTATACCGTGTAACCATTATATTTGGAGGTTCCTTTTTTGCTTTTTTTTTTTAGGGGGAGAGTATGTTTAAATAATATCATTGGTGTCCTCACAGAACTTCTCTTGAATGATTTCCTTAGGATAGATAATTTCTTCGAGGAGACACAGGGCAAAGTCAATCAATGGCTCTTGCTCTGTGTTTCTTTAATGCTTTTTTAAAGACTCATTTTCCTGACAACTTTGACACTTGATTTCCTGAAGATTTGTTTCTATTTTAAAAATTGTATGTGTTCCTAAGATATTTTGTCATTCAATAAATTTTAAGGACTTAATCTGATTTCACATCAGTCTAATGAAAAAATAAACATCATTTTGCTTTATGGGGGGGGCCTCAAAAAACCAAGAATTTATTTATTTAAAAAATTGTGTATTTCTTCTTACATGTTTACACCTATCGTGATGCTTTTTCCACTGTGCAAAAGTTTTTTTAACTCATCAATTTTGATGTCTTTTACTGCTTCAGCCATTTTTTGTTTCACCTCTTCCACATCCGTAAAATGCTTCCCTTTGAGGACTTTTGTCATCTGGGTAAACAAAAAAAGTCGCTGTGTCAAGATCAGGTGAATAGGGAGGGCGGGGCATGGGGTCCTGCTGTTTTTGGTCAAAAACTGCTGAACACTCAGCACATTGTGGGCAGGTGTGCTTATAAACCACCCATCATGAAATGGGGAAGGGCATTAAAGAAATTTCAAAAAAATAAAAATTGAAATGAAACCCAATGTGGACTCTCACAACAACGCTAGCTGGTACACTGATGCTGATGGGTTCCTAGAACACTTATCTAAAGAGGGAAGCCTGCACCACAAGGGGACTCACCTTCCAAAAAATAATTCCAGGTATTTTGGGGTCCTCTCCTTGCACTATAGAAGAAATTTGAATCACTTAGAAGTTGTCATTCTAAATATTTGTTTAGAGAAGTGAAACCCCTCTTTTTTCTGCCATTAATCCTTGGAGAGCTTTCTACATGCAATAGTTTTACCTTTTGCAGCACATGTAGGTTACCTGCTTATGAGAAGGAAACTGATAGCCTTGTGGTATTTTTGCTTGAAGATGTGTATGTCATTAAATCAACAATATATGCTCACACCTACTAATGATGTCACTTTGAGAGATTAAAAAAAATTGAATATATATTATCTACCCTGGAAAAAATTAATAATGCCAGAGGACTTGTTCAAAAAAGGACCTATCCCAAAATATCAAGCCAAGCAACAAGTAATCAGAATGCAAAGCATTATGTAGACCACCACGGTCCAGGGACCAGAGAAGTCCAGGGAGCTGTGTAATAAAGGAGTTTCATATAATAATAGGTGTGAGATTAAATATGTAGTGAAGAAATTCATACATAGTTCTAATATACAGACAGAATGCTTCCCTACCTGATGCCACACCCTCTCGCAACTTTGCCCAAATATTAGTGACCTCTAGCCTCCACCTTATTGGCACGATGTTACTGCCCTTTGCTCTTTTAGTCAGTCACATGTTGGCGAGGAAGTTAGGAGCAATTCAGACTGGATGTATTCTAGTTTAATACCCTAGAAGCTTGAGAGATCAAATCTGTTGCAAGGCCAATTCTCAGAGTCTCTTCAGGGTGTGTCAGGGCCGCACACGCCCACAGGTTGACCGTTCCTCTGAGTTCATCTTCTGAAGGAGAAAGTTACCTGCCAGAGCCTTTCCCTGAGAGCATTATGTTGGGCAAAACCCGACTAAAATAGAATGACTAAATTAAAGAGAGCATGAGAGTTTCTGGCCAGGGTGGGGAGAGTTGTCACAAATAGCGACCTGATTTTCTTGGGGTGCCCTTCTAAATATTATTTCATGCTGAAGCACATGCTGTTTGATATTTCTGTTGATTAAGCTCATGCCTCCTTTTAGTCACCCAGTAAGAACCTGGATTGCGGTGAGATAACTGTCTAGTCTTCCTCATTTGAACTAGCTTCACCTTGTCCCTTCCTTGAGCATTTTGTGTGTGTCGTATAGTCCTTTTCGGCAGATGGACCAAATTACTTTTCTATGAAAGACCAAGTGGGAAAAAAATCCCAAACTTCAGTTATCACACCTCCAAAAGGATTTATTTCTTAGAAAATCATGGCTCACTATGGTAGTATACACTAACGTTTTCAAGTACACATTCCTTAAACCAAATTTAAAAAAAAAAGTTGTTGTAACATTAGACCATAACCTAGTTAGTATGACCACCAGTGCTTCTGCATTCTCCAGTCTTCTAGAATCTCTCCTGGTTTCAAATCTGAAGGCCTACCACAGAGGGAGGGGCTTGTGGTTTTGTTTTCTTTACAATTCTGTCTTCAGCAACTTGAGAGCTTTCTTCATGTTGTCAAGCACTAGTGGGGATAAAATTAGGAAAGTCAATGCACCATCAGAAATTATGTTACTTGATATAATAGACCCCCAACTTGGATACTCCATGCATTGTTTAATGGGGGGCTTTTAAGTCATAGGGTGAATAGTTGGTAATCCTACTGTCAATATGGCTTTCCTGACAATCCAGTTCTCTAGTGTTGATTCCTTCTCAAATCTTCTACCTACAGCTCCCACTTCCAAAAGAATTCCTTTATAAGCGCCATCAGCAGAAAAGAATTTTGACTGTACAGAAGTAAATTTTATTATTATTATTATTATTATTTGAGCTGGAGTCTCACTCTGTCGCCCAGGCTGGTGTGCCATGGCACACTCACTGCCACCCCAGCATCGACCTGCTGAGCTCTGGCGACCCTTCTGCCTCAGCCTTCCAAGTAGCCAGAACTTCGGGCGCACACTACCATGCCCAGCTAATTTTTAATTTATTGTAGAGACAAGGGCTCGCCAAGTTGCCCAGGTGGGTCTCGAACTCATGGGCTCAGGCAATCCACTCACCTCGGCCTCCCAAAGTGCTAGGATTACAGGCTGAGCCACCGAGCCCAGCCCAGAAGTAAATTTTAAATCATGTTTTTAAGAAATATCTGTTGGTAGGTGTGTGCAGCTACTGCAAATTGTTTTAGAAGTAAATTGTAAATAATAGCAAACTAAGTGCTTTACACATGAGTTCCTTCAATCCTCACAAAAAACTCGGTGAGAACTTTATTTTTACATAATGAAACAGGCACAGAGAGGCTGAGTAGCTTGCTCAAGTTTACACAGTTAACGTGATGTCCACGTGATGGCACTGAGCTCCTTATTCACTCTAACATATTTATTAAATGCCTGCTCTACAAGTCACTATGATGCTACCCATGTGGGCGATCTCTGCCTTTAAAGACTTTAGTCTTATTAGGATATCTGGTATTATCTCGAGAATGGCCAATACTTCTAGGAATGTGTTTCTCCACGTCCCCCAGCAGCCTCTGGAAACACTGCTCATGAACCATGATGGTCTTTCCTGCTGCCCAGACACAGCCTCACTCTCCATCCCAATATGGTGTTGTTTTCTGTGATGATGACAATATATCATTTTGGGGCATTGAGCACTTGGAATGTGGCTAGTGTGACTGAAAAACCAAAGTTTTCATTTTAATTTAAAACTAAATAGCTGTATGGGACTAATCTGAACATATTGGACAGTGCAGTTCTAGGCAGCTGCTACTGATGGACAAGAATTGCTTCCTAGGATAAAACCCAATTTTCTTCCCAAAGGACTAATCAGATGTCACAGCTATGTACAACCTTCCACTTAGGTACCTTACCTGTGGGGGCCCTCTCTCTCTGTCTCTGTCTCTGTCTCTGTCTCTGTCTCTCTCTCTCTCTCTCTCTCTCAGCACCCAGAAGGTAAATGAATATCTCAGTAACTATTTGGATTATCTCTTCTACTGATCTTTAAATTGAGCCTGAGTTCAACTTCAAGCCGGACTAGATTATTTCACCTTTGTTATTTGGAAAAAATTTAAAGTATGCAGATTATTACAACTCTTGCACTCAATTCTGTGATAGGAGTGTTAGTGTATCTAACAGAAAACCTGAAAAGCAGGTAATGTGGTCATAAGAAAAAGATACCTAATCTAAATAATTCATCTGCAATTGAGATAAAGAACAAACAAACCTGGACTGAAAAGAGAGTGTGGTTTGCCTGAGGACACAACGCTATAGGTAGGGTCAAGTGATCCGGGCTTTCTAAGCCAGGCTGTCTCTCATCTTACCCATGTGTTCCTAGTGTTATCACTACAGCAACAGAGATGCTCAACACTTGGACAACATCCAAGTTGAGGTGACACTTACACAGAGCTGTGTCTGAAGGCTCATAAGCATAGAGGCGATTTGAGTATCTTCCAGTGATGTCAGCTCTGACTGTCAGGGATGGGTCTGCAAAGATAAAGCAAGAGGGAATGGAATGGTTTGTTTGCAGGTTACCTTCACCTATTGCCTGAGGAAGCAAAGCCCATGTATCCCTGTCAGATCCACCTGCCCCATCCGCTCTGCCACCCAGTCCCTGGCAGTTATTGACCAACACAACGCAGCCAGCATCAATAGCTGTGCAGTGCTATTTGTGGAAAAGGCCAAGAATCCTGCTGTCCTATTAGAGCAACCTGAAAACAGAATGATATGTATTTGGGTGTGGTGTGGTAGGTTTTTTTCCTTGGTGAAAACATTAACATTGTTTACTGCAAAATTATTGTAAACTCTTGATATGCTTATGTTGTAGTTAACATGTTTCTAGATCATTAGAAACCCACACGCAATACTGATTTTCAAAACAAACTTTTGTTTTAAATAAATAAAAGAATGCAAACCTTTAAACATGACAAAGGCTGAATAAGCATAGTGCCCTCACTATTTTTTTTTACCTTATGCTGCACTGTGTTTTCTCATATATACATATATGAGAAGGAACCCAACCATAAACAGAATTATCATTTGGAGGATAGGCCCCTATAGGCTTTCCCTACCAGGTAAGTATTCTATGAACCCACTGGCATCAGTGTAGCAGCTAGTATTATGAGAGGCGGCATTCAGCTTCAGTAAAAATTTTTGGAGATTCTTTCAAAGCATTTGCACATTTCATGATGGATGATTTTCGAGTGCACCTGCCCACACTGCACTGAGTGTTCAGCAGTTATTGACCAAAATGGCATGACCCCTGTGTCTCACCCTCACTGTTCACCCCATCTTACCCAAAGTGACTTTTTTTGTTGTTTCCTCGAGCTTAAATATGTAAGAATAAGTACACAACTTTTAATAAACAAATTCCATTTTTTGGGTCCCCCATCACCTTTCTCCAAATTTAAGTCCATTTGTCATATTTTATACTTAACTTGAAGTTATCTGATTAATGAGAAAAAGAGTATTTAAAATTAAGATGCAGGTGAAAGGGAAGTTGTAGGCTACAGAGAGGTCTGGAAACCTTGCCTTGAGAGACGTCATTAAAAGAACCTAAGACGTGTCCTGGAAACTACACAAAGAGGACATAGAACCATCTGCATGTTTGCAGAGTCTGTCACTGGTAGTGGAGTGGACAGTCTCTGTCACTTCAGAATGGTGGACTAGCACCAACAGACATAATTTACACGAAGCAGATATACGTTTATTTGCCAGACTTAAGACCCACTATATTTCTGCTTGGTGCAGAGGATACAAAGACATGGTCTAATCTTTGTAATGAATTAGCCTAAGAAGGGCCTTTTAAATACTGGCAGCTCATAACCCTGGCGGTATATTGGAATCATCTGGAGAGCTGCAAAGAACTGTGATGCCTTCGTCCCACCTCTGGAGATTCTGATTTAATTGGCTTGCGGTGTGGCCAGGGTGATTTGATGTTTTAAATACTCCAGGTGATTCTAGCATACAGTCAGTGGAAAACACTGAGCTGGAAGAGCAAGCTGCCTCCAAGTTGGTTCTTGTGACAGAAGAAATAGAATATGGATGGATTAAAATGCCCTTCCACAGAGACACTGTAAAAAGAATTTCTGCACAAGGTATGACTGCGTGACCTAGAAATTCCCCTTCCATGTTAGGATTCCAAATATTCTAAATACTGACAAAACCAAACCAGTAAAATTAGTGTTCTAGTTCAACCTTCCTGTTTTTCTTCCTATCACTTGTTTTTCTTTCCCCTGTTTTTATATATTTTATGAATTACATAGGTGAACCATTCAACTAGAGTGAGCTCTGCTATGCGATAGGTTTTATGATGGACTGTCCCTGAGTCAGCCTGACTTTGGGAAAGCCAAATTCAATGCACTCATTCAATAATTTGACAAATATTTACGGAGAGTCTCCCCCAAGGTCATGCTGGGAATATCATGGTGAGCAGAAACAGACCCAGGGTCTTCTTTCTAGTCTCATAGGGGAAATACTTATCATATAATCACTCAACAAATACAAAGTTATAACTGAGGAAAGTATGACAAATGAGAGCCACATGGTGGCACTAGAGCATGCAGTGGGGACTTGACTGGCTCAACAACTGAGAGAGATGATTGGAACGTTAGGGTGGCTTGGAGGATCAGAGGAGGAAGCGGGAAAAGCTTTCCAGCAGAGGGAAAAGCAAGTGACAAGTGTCAGTGCAGGATGGAGCATGGCTGTTTGTTTGTTTCTGGCTTATACTCCCAACTTTCCTAAAACAAAAACAAAAACAAAAAAAAACAAAACAAAATCCAAAATTTCAGAAAGAAAAATCCAACATACAAATTGAAAGTTTGCCTGATTAAAAAATCAATATGGCCCAGGTGCAGTGGCTCCAGTCTGTAATCTCAGCACTTTGGGAGACTGAGGCCAGAATTGTCTGAGCCCAGGAGTTTGAGACCAGCCTGGGCAACTTGGTGAGACCTCAAATTTACAATATATCAAAAAAATTAGCCGGGTATGGTAGCATGTGCCTGTAGTTCTGGCTACTTGGAAGGCTGAGACAGAAGGATTGCTGGAGCCCAGCAGGTTGACGCTGGGGTGGCCGTGAATGTGCTACTGCACTTCAGCCTGGGCAACAGAGTGTGCCACTGCGCTTCCAACTCAAAAAATAATGATAATAGCCAGGCTCGGTGGCTCAGCCTGTAATCCCATGCCTTTGGGAGGCTGAGGTGAGTGGATTGCCTGAGCCCGCAGGTTCGAGATCCGCCTGGGCAGCGAGACCTCATCTCTACAATAAATCAAAAAATCAGCCGGGCGTGGTAGCACATGCCTGTAATTCCGGCTACTTGGAAGGCTGAGGTGGAAGGATTGCCGGAGCCCAGCAGGTCGAGGCTGTGGTGGCTGGGAGCGGCCACCGCACTCCAGTCTGGGCGACAGAGTGAGACTCCAACTCAAAAAAAAAATAATAATAATGATAATAATAAATATGTGCAGGACTTAGGTATTCTGGAGATTTTATCAATATATTTAAACAGCTAGCAGAGTTTCCTTCTGAGACGTATTGTGGCAGAAGATGAAAAGTAAAAATTAGCAGATAGGCAAAAAGCCTTTTGGTGGAAGTAGGTAGAGGTTCATATTTTCTTTTCTTTTCTTTTTTTTTTTTTTTTTTTTTTGAGTTGGAGTCTCATTCTGTTGCCCAGGCTGTAGTGCAGTGGCACGCTCACAGCCACTCCAGTGTCAACCTGCTGGGCTCCAGCGATCCCTCTACCTCAACCTTCCAAGTAGCCAGAACTACAGTCATGCTCTACCACGCCCAGCTAGTTTTTGATTTATTGTAGAGACGAGGTCTCGCCAAGTTGCCCAGGCTGTTCTTGAACCCGCAGACTCAGGCAATCCACTCGTGTTGGCCTCCCAAACTGCTGGGATTATAGGCTGAGCTACCGAACCCGGCTGAGGTTCATATTTTCTAGCAAAAATACATTATGGGACTTCAAGGAACGTCATACCCTTGCTAGAGCTTCATAATGACATTGACCATGATGAAGTGGCAGGTAAGGGTGGGGAGAACAAAAGAAGGGACATGGCAGTGCTTGTACAATTTTCAGGGTTTGTTTCATCTTATTGTCACTCTCACTTACCAACAAACATGATTCTGGGGACATACTGGCCATCAGGAGAAAGGTGTTTGTCTGTTGTCTCATACTAAGATTTAAAAAAAGAAAGCATCTTTTAGTTTCCTCTTCTGTTATTTTCAAACTTGTTAACACGAGAACGTATCCATGACAGGGCCAGGCACCTTAAAATTTCACAAAGAGTTCATAATATTGATGGGAAAACAAGTTACACGCATGGAATAATTAATGATAGAACAGAATATGGTATAGAGCGTGAGGCAAAGTACTGAATGGGTTTGACGAAGAGCAGAAAGTTTCAAGAAGGGAAAATCTGAAGAGAGTTATAAAGTTTGGGGAGCCATCTTGGACAAAGTAGGAGGATATCAATGAAGGAGAAGGCAGAAATCATTGCTGAAAAATGACAGTGACAAACAGGATTTTCTAGAGTATTCATTTATCTGTCAACTTCTATTTGGAGTGTTACTTATTTAGCAAGGCGCAGTGCTTATTGTTAATAAATCCATGACCTTTTGAGAGATACAGATGGGGAATTAATATTGCCATGCAGAAGCAGTGGGCGCCCTGGACAAGATGCATCCCAGGTTCCCCTGGGACTTTCTGAAGTGGGTAAGGAGGAATCTTAAACAATGAACAGGAGTCAGTCACATGGAAGAGGAGGCCACTCCACGCAGGGGGAAGAGCACGTGAAGAGCTGCGGAGAGGAAAGGTTGAGCGCTGTCTCTTATAGCTAAGTGCTTGGGAAGGCATGAAATATGGGAGAGGCATGAAGGCAGCAGTGAGAGAAGGTTCTAGAGTTGTGTCGGGGTCAGCCCATGAATGGCTTTCCACATCATGCCACAGTGTTTTCATTCAGAAAGAGTCAACTGCCACTGGAGGATGTTAGAAGAGGTACCATGACTCCAATTTGGTCTTTAAAGCAATTACCCTGACTGTCATGTGGAAGTCGACAAGGTTTATCTTGTAGGTGGGGGACTGTTTAGTAATTTGACAGTAAGCTGGCAAAGTGAAAAAGTCGCACACAAAAATAATCATCCTGAGTTTATAGAGAAGTGACTAACAGCAGAAATATTTAGAGTTTAGAAGCATAGAGCTCCTTGAATGTTGGAGGTGAGGAGTGTCCAATCTAGAATAGTGCCACTTTCAGGGGAAACAGGGGTTACAGAAAGAAGTGCTATTTGAAAAGCCTGAACCAAGATGATCCCATCAGTGTAGAGAACAGCATGAGTTTAAGCTAATTGTGAGACATCTGGAAGATGGTTGGATGGACATGTTGGAAGTTGTTGCAGGTTTGGGTAAAATGTAGGAATTATCATTGTGTAGGAATTGAGTAAAGGCAGGTGTAGATGAAGTTATCCATAGAGAATATAAATATGAAGAGAAGTGTGTCAAGTAGAGATTCATTATGTCAATAACATGAAGAGGTAGAAAGAAGAAAGGGAGCCCGTGGAAGGAAGGCAGGGAAGGACTGCTGATGTGAACTGTCTTTAAAGAAACCAAACTGTGAAAAGGAGGGTGGAGCTCAAGAGAAAAGGGATTAGTTAGAGTCATGTTTGCTTGGTTTTAGGCGAACAGAATCATTTGTATACAGGGAAAAGAGCTTGCAAAGACGGAAAGCTAGACAACAGGAGGGAAGTTTAATGGGAATGTACAAAGCTAAAGTATAATAAGAGCTATGACTGGATTTGGACAACTAGAGAGCTGTCCCCCAGGGAGAAGGGACAAGAATTAAGAATGGGTGTCAAGCCCAGTGTGATGGCTTCCATCTGTAATCCCAGCACTTCGGGAGGCCAAGGCAAGAGGATTGCTTGAGCCCAAGAGTTTGAGGCCAATTTGGACAACATAGTGAGACCATGTCTCTACAAAAAAACTACAGGTCTCTACAGGTGGCAAACACCAGTAATCCCAGCACATTGGGAGGTGGAGGCGAGAGGATTGCTGAATTCGGGAGTTCAACACCCACCTGGGCAACATAGTGAGACATCGTTTCTACAAAAAATAAAAAAATTAGCCAGCCATGGTGATGCATTCCCAACATCCTAGCTACTCAGAAGGCTGAGGCCAAAGGATCTCACGAGCCCAGAAGGTCAAATCTGCGGTGAGCTGTGTTTGGGCTACTGCATTCCAGCCAGAGAGACAGAGTGAGATTCTGACTCAAAAAAGAATGGGTGGAGAGAAGCCAGGATTGTAGGAGGATGGGCACAGGAAGTAATTTGAAAACTACAAAAATTTTCCAATTATTATAGCAAAATGGGAAACAATATTTCCAATGATTATAGAAAATCCTGACCCCAGGGGAATATTTTTCAAACAACCTAAGACTATTAATTACTAAATGAAAATGGACATGCCAGATAGATTATTAATAAAATGAAATATCATTTTTTTCTCTCTAATCTATGAGATGGGATATTTGGAAGACATCCCAGTTAATGCGTATGACTAAGATGTTTGAGAAAAATAAATCATCCATTTCCACTAATGAGCCAGGGGGAAATATTAGTGATGATGGGAAGTAAACTTACAACTAGATTGAGGAGGACAAACTGCTCTGCCAACTTCTGGATTTCTTTATTTTCAGCAAACACTTTCTTTAAAGCTGTAATATAAAGAAAAGTCATTAAGTATACATCTTAGCCTTGGTTAAAACCACTGTTCTCAGCTATATTTTAAATTGGATTGTGTTTTTAGATATAATAGTTCATTTTTGGTCAATCAACAAATGATGAGTGAAGTAATATCTATGGCATTGACTATCTCTGCTTTTTATTTTCATCCTTTCATTTTTTTCAATTCATTTAATGAATGGCTACTATGTGGTAAGCATAGTATTATGCACTGAAGTTCATACAGTGAATAAAAAAAAAAACAGGAGCATTTTTCATAGAGTTCAAATGCCTGTGTGGGACACAGACCATGAACGAACAAATAAATAGATAATTTCAAGAGGAGATACATGCTTTGAAGAAATATAAAGCAAGGCAAAGGGTTTAAGAAGTCTGGAGTGGTCAGGGCAGATCTTTCTCTGAAGGTAACATTGAAGGAAGGGAGTGATCCATTTTGGGGGTAGATCACGAAGATTTTGGGGGTAGGTCTCTAAGATTTGGGGGTAGGTTACTAAGATTTTAAGGATAGGTCACTCAGATTTTGGGGGTAGGGCTCTAAGATTTGCGGGGGTGGGTCACTAAGATTTGGGGGGAGGTCACTAAGATTTTGGGGGTAGGTCATTCTAGCCTTGAGGTGGAAATGAGGCCAGATGTGTGGGGAACAGCAGGAAGGCCAGGCTGGAGAGAGTAGAGGCAGCAAGAGAAGATTGGTAGGAAAAGAAAGACAGCCATTGGCCAGATCACATCAGCCTTGTAGGCCATGGTCAGGAATTTGGATTTGATTTTACTTGTGGTAGAGATGCCACTTGAGCACGGAGTGATAGGATCTGATTTATATTTAACAGCCTCACTCTGGCTTCTGAGTGAACTTGCTGTAGGGCGATCACTCTGGTGCTGTTACAGTAGGCTAGACAAGATCTGATCACGGCTCAGATCAGGGCAGTAGCACCGATGCAGTAGGAAGTGACTGGATGTGGGCGAGACCAGTTACATAATGTATGGGGTCCAGTGCAACATGAAAACATTGAGTCCCCTGTTTTTTAGGACAGCGACAGCAGAGTACTGAGTCAAGGGTGGGAATCATCTATGTTGTGGGCCCTGTGCGGCTGCACAGGTTGCATGCCCATGAAGCGGGTCCTGGTTTGCAGTTACATTTTAAAGGGAAAGCCACTAATTGCCAACGTATTGGATGTGAAATATATGAGAAATAAAGAAATTGCGGATGAATCCTAGAGGTTATTTTTAAAAATATGCACCAATGGTTAACACAAAATGTGGAAATATTTAAAGTTACCTTAAAATATGCTTTTACTACAAAAAATATTATTGATCTATTCACATGTGCTAGGTTCTAAAGATACAAAGATGAATAATCTGAACCTTGTCTCTAAGACTAAATCATATTTACAAGAATAAATTACCTTGACTGTGTGGGCATTCGTCCAAGTGGTGAATAATCATCAAGGGTTTGTTGCTTTAAGAAACAAAGAGATTGGGTATGTTTTAATGAGTAAGATTTCATCTAGAGGTCACTAGATGGTGCTCTTGAGAGCTTTGAGACGGCTCTGTGTCACCCTCATCTTTACCTTGTCTTGGATTTGTATAAAGCTTCCTCATATGTCTGAGTCCAGATGAGTTGATCACCCCAACCTGGAGCAAAATGAACCAAAGTATATTTAAAACTTTTAGAATTTCAGATCCAGAGCTGTTGAAAAGCAATGACCAAGGCAGGGATAAGTAAATGCTCGATACTAAAGAAGAAGGAAAATGTCTAGAGAAAGTAGAAATAATTATAAACAGTGATCAGTCTAGAAGGAACCCATGCCAAAATATGCTCAATACACAAGTTTCAATACCCGGAGTCAAGAAATCTTTCCTGACGAAGTAGCAGCTGGAAGCCAACAAGAAGCAGACTCCTACCTCTGGAGAGGGTCTGGGGCAGTTTGGGTTGCGAGTCCTTTGTGTCCTTTTTAGCTCCAGGCTTGACTGTGGTATCTTTGGCCAGAGTGTAAGAGAGAGCCACAAAGAGCAAAAACGCTGACACTGAAATTTTCTCCATGGTAAATCTGATATGGAAAGCAAACAGAAATCAATACTACAAAAAGGAATTAGCAGTCTTTGAGACCTGCATCACAACCACGGAAAATGACAGAAACTAAGGTTGAACACATGAGATTGGAGTAAACAGCCTCCTTCCTTGGGACGTTCCTGAGGATACAGATGCTCTTTGACTTTACAATCAGGTTACATCCTGCAAGTCCCTCGTAAGTTGAAAATATCATAAGTTGAAAATGCATTTACAGCCATTCCCCCTTTTCCATGGTTTTGCTTTCAGTGGTTTCAGCTACCCATGGTCAACCATGGTCTGAAATAGGTGGTACGGTGCAGTAAGATGTTTTGAGAGAGAACCACATTCACATAATGTTTATTACAGTATATTGTTATAATTGCTCTATTTTATTATTAGTTGTCAATCTTTTGTGGTGCCTAATTTATAAATTAAACTACCATAGACATGTATGTATAAGAAAAAATAGTATATATAGCATTTGGTACTATTCATGGTTTCAGGCGTTCACTGATGGTCTTGTAGCACATCCCAATAGATTAGGGGCGACCATTACAATGCACCTCATCAGCTGGACACTATAGCTCAGCCTAGCCTACTTTGAATGTGCTCAGAACGCTTACATTAGCCTACAGTTGGGCAAAATCAACTGACAGAAAGCTTGTTCCATAATGTTTTGAGTACTGTACCGAAAGTGAAAAACAGAATGATGTTCTGTTCGAAGTATAGTTTCTACTGAACACGTGTTGTTTTTGCACCATCATAAAGCAAAAAAATTAAGTCAAACCATTATAAGTTGAGGATCATCTATACATAGCATGGATCTCTCTCCCTCTCTCTTTCTCTCTTTTTCTCTCTCTATTGATCCACAAAGATATAAAGATGTAGATCTCAATAAACATAGATAACTAAATAGATGCATATACTCATATAGCTAAGAAAATTCACATTTAAGTTGAATATTTAAAAATAGTACTGGAAGACACCTTAGGGGTTACCACCTCTACTCCAACCTTCCCAGTCCAGAACAAAGGCTTCTGGATTTTGCTATTTTGCAGTGCTGGCTCCTGTCTTCCCTCCCTGAAACAATTATCCTAAATATACACACTTCTTTAACCTTCCGTCAACATGAGGACATTGCCAATGAAGAATGAGCTGGGGTTAAAATAATTCTTTCTTCCATTGAGAACCTGCCAACTTTGTCACTTAACTGAAGACTTACACCCACATAACACTTCCCCTAGTGTAACATTTACTCAAATTCTGTATTAGGTCTGAATTGACTAAGACACATCAATGTCAAGTTCCCTCCAGTGAACAATTATTTGACTCTCTGTGTGGGCCTGTATAGGCAGGTAGTTGCAGAGCAAGCACGTTAGCGCACAAAGGTACTTGGTTAGATTCATAAAACAGAGAGATAAACCCCATGGGTGCCTCTTTGTCAAGTTCTTTTTTCCTTCTGGTATTCCACAGTTGATTCCTGGGAAAAGCTGAAGCCAATGCCTCTGAACAGGGAAGTGAATGGCAAGATAAGTTACATGAGCGAGGAGGGAGGGAGAGAGGGAGCTGGCAATCAAAGTGAGTTGCAGGAGCATATCACTAAGGTTATCGGGGCCATAACATGGAAAACTGGGATTCTGGTAATGCCAAACCCTAAAACTGCTTAAAACGAAACATGAAACTATCATATATATTGGAGTAAGTTTTGAATTAAGTCAATATACAAAGGAAATGGGATGGACTATCATGGCTTTTTTTTGTTTTTTGAGTCAAGTCTCACTCTGTCACCCAGGCTAGAGTGCAGTGGCACAATCACAGCTCATGGTCACCTCAACTTCCCGGGCTCAGGCGATCCTTACACCTCATCCTACTGAGCAGCTATAGAAGTGTGCTACCTTGTCCAGCTAATTATTTTGATTTTTTTTTAGAGACAGGGTCTCACTATATTGCTCAGGCTGGTCTTGAACTCCTAGACTCAAGTGACCCTCTCGCTTCAGCCTCCCAAAGTCCTGAGATTACTGGTGTGAGGCACCAAGCCCAGCCTAATTGCTTACTATTTTTAAGAGGGAAGTTTCTCATGATCAGAGAGCTCGATTGAAAAACTTTGCTAAGCATTAGCTGATTTTTTTTAAAAAAGGTATTGATAAGTTACCAAATCCAGATGAACTTTATTAAACTAACCACTTATTATCCAAGTCATAGTATGTAGCCATAGTATGTACTCAAAAAGGCACAAGCAAACACAGGGATATGGTTTCTTCATTTTCTATGCACATAAAAATGCGGAAATGCCAACAACAATTTTTGTCTTCTAGAGTGCTACAAAAACAACTCAAGTGTATACACTCACCCCTCTTAGTATAAAGATTTATTTTCAATGTTTAAAAAAAATCAAAAATGTATATGTGAAACTAGTTATACTTTTGGAATATTAATTGGTTCAGAAATATATAATGGCAAGTAACTAAATATATCAAGAGAACTTTGATTTTGTATTTTATTTACAATAGCATCTATGTATAGTGAAAACAATAGTAAATGGTGGCAAAGCATTTTATTTATTTAGTTCACTGACAATTCTTGCTGTATAAGTGGCTATTAGGATCCCTTGCAATAGCTCTATAGATTACAGGTTGGAACTATTGAACTATTGCTTGTGTTTTATGGCAGAATGACTCAAGGAAGGTAATATAACTTCTGCTGTACAAACATCCTGCTCTAGGGTGACTTTCTGAGATTCACTATTGAGTTTGCAAACTTCCTGCATAAACCATTTTAAAACACAATGCTAAGCATGGAAGTTGGACACACACACACACACACACACACACACACACACACACACACACACACAAACTCTGTGAAGCTGGCACTTTTCAGTGGCCACTATATCCTTGTCCTCTTGTCGTTATCAAAGAACAAACTTGCAGGATGTTTCTCTGTCCCTGTCCTTTTAATCCTTCAGGAAAGCAAACAGCTCTCCCCTCTTACAGCCTAGCCCATGACTTTAATGACTGAAGAAGCAACAAGAATATCTTTACACTAGACAGAAAAAGAAACTGCTTCCTGATATGCAGGAGTGTATTCCAAGCGGGTCATCTGAGCTGAGGTGTCACAGTTAAGGAGTATGTGGGTCTTTGCTTTAGCCAGTGGGAGAGATACAAGAGTGTTAAGATGGTGACTGAGATGAAAATCCCAGGGCTCTGTCCCAGGCTTGAAAACTCCTAGGGTTCAGCTACTCTGAAACTTCGTCTCCTAAAGGAGAAAGCATTCATTTTAACTAGCTCAAGAAGGTAATAATCTACCAGCCCTAGCCAAAGACAGATCCCAGTAAGGCTTTGGTAGAAATTTCATGATTCCTTCTCTCAATCCTACTTCATTGCCCTGGGAACCCTGCACTTCTCTGTTGATTGACTGCAACTTCACAAAGCAATCAGAGGCCACAACTCACTCCAACAAGTGCCTCGCACCGTTGTTGTCAGATCCTTACCTGCTCCACACCCACCTGCTTGTGTGAGCCGGCGGCCAGGATGCGGTCCAAGCTTCTGAGTGTGCCCGCACTGCTGAGCCTCTATTTATGCACCAGAGCACACCTCAATCCCACCCACTAATCCTGTATTTACAGGTTGCTAACTCGGAAACGAACCTTGCTTTTCCCAAGCGATTGATTGTCTTCCCTGGATTAAAGAGCTCCTTGTTTTTAAAAATAACGTTGCAAAGGGTAAGCTTTTCAGTCTGCATGTTTTTAACTGTTTGTGAAAGCTTATTGTTAAAGAGATTTGGAAATGTGGGCAGAGTTCCAAATCCAGGTAGACTTTGAATGAAGACATTTGATTTGCCTGAAGGCTGATTTGTCTTAATGTGATTGGATGGAGTTTGCAGATTGTAGATTTTTTTTTCTCCCCCCTGGGCAGACTGCCTTGATTAAGTTGAAAACACAAGAGATGATTCACAATTCTAACCATCACAGCCATATAACCCGCCGTTCTCCATTATGATAAAAATTATTTTCCACGTTACACTTACCTTATCCTGTCAAAAAAACTACCTTAACTACATGTGTGAAAAAAATACAAATCAAGTTATCCATATAATATTTCAAAACTGAAGAACTTATTGGAAAAAGGATAGCCTAATACAATGAGCTTGTAATAATTATCTTGCCGTTGAATATATGCAGCAACTTTTCTCCAGCAACTTCAAAGGTATTTCACAGATATTCTCTTATTTACAGTTAAACGTTCCTGCTAGGCACGCAAGAAGTCACTTATCCCTTTATTCAGACTTGGAAAGTAAGTTCTGAAACTTTTTTTTTCACTCAAGGTGGTTCAATTACTCACTGAGAATTTTATTGGAACTCAAGTTTTGTGTCAGAAAATTTTAATCTTGTATTTTGTGCATGAAACTATGTGCAATTCTTAAAAGCTCAGAATGGAGAAATCTTTCATAAAAGAGAGTTAAATCATGGAATGCCAACTCCATAGAAATAATTTTTTTAAATGGGTTAAGATTATACTATTTGAAAACATTTTCAAGTATGTTTTTTTTTTTTTTCATTAAAGCTTTGACTTCCGTGGACAAAATAGTGAGTCTCAAAATATTGAATATTTTTTCAATTTTTTTTAAGATATGGGGTACAATTTAGGATTAGTTATACAAGTGGTCATCATACAGATAAAGTTTGGGCCTCCCTTTGGTCCCCACTTTGCCTGGTTTGAGAACAGGTACCCTTATTAATGTTATGTGTCCCCTCCCTCCTGTGGCAGTGTCCTGCTACTGCCAATTTCTTTCTTATAGTATTATGATAATTGTTCAGGGTCAGCTTACGAGTGAGAACATGTGGTACTCAGTTTTTTGTTTTTGTGATAGATTGCTGAGTATTATAGACTCTAAATCTATCCAAGTTGCTGTGAAGTCCATATGTTTGTCCTTCATTATGGTTGCATAATATTCCATCTTTTTTTTTTTTAATCTACCACTTTTTTTTTTAATCCAGTCCAGTTTTGATGGGCAACAAAGTTGGTTCCATGTTTTTGCTGTTGTGAATAGTGCTGCAATAAACATGCGTGTGCAGGTATCTTTTTGGTAGTGGAACTTGAGTTCCTCCGGGTGTATTCCCAGTAGGGGGATTGCTGAGTCACATGGAAGGTCAATTTCTAGTTCTTTTAGAAATCACCACACTGTTTTCCACAGAGGTTGAACTAGTTTGCATTCCCACCAACAGTGTAGAAATGTTCCCTCTTCTCTGCATCCTCACCAGTATCTCTTGTTTTTGTTTTATCTTCTTTCATTCTAAGTGAGTTTACAGAGATAATTTTTGAAGGTGTTGGATTGAAAATAATGATTTCAGCTAAACTCTTAAAACTTGAAAAGTTCTTATATAGACCCTTAGAATATTCACTCCCTCATTGTGCAGATGAAAAAATATCAAAAATTGATTTCTTAGGGTCCCACAAATAGTTTAGGGCAAAGCTGGGACCCAAGCCCAGGAATCTGTAGTCCTTGATCTATGGGGTGAACAGTGGGTGGGATTTGGGATTACAGAAGTGTCGTGCATCCTGCTTCTTGGTGCACACTCATTGGATGAGCTCAGAGATGTCATTTTACATCTCTGAAACTTGTTTCCATCTATAAAATGGGGATAACAGTATCATACATGACTGATTTTTAATACAGTAGATCAATATACCAGCAGAGCTAGATTCTTCTGAGACCTCTTGTTGGTTTGTAAATGTTCATCTTTTACCTTGTGTCTTCACATGGTCTTCTCTCTGTATCTGTGTGTCATAATTTTCTTTTCTGATAAGGATATCAGTCATAGGTATTAGGGTACAGCCTAGTGACCTGTTTTAATTTATTCACCTCTTTAAAGACTACTTCTATACATAGTCTTATTCTTAGGTTCCAGGGATTAGAACTTCAGCATATAACCTTTGGGGAACACAGTAAACTTGGTAATTAAAAACACCTCTGAATTGTTATAATCAATTATAATTATCTAATAATTATTTTACTGTACTCCTGTGCCTAATCTCATGCCAGTAAAAACTCAGTGTTTGTCATAGTGGCTAAGTTATGGCAAGGAGGAGGTAATTATTAGAAAATATTCCTACACATGCTATGCAGCTGAAGAATTTTTGGTGTGGAGTTAGGGCTTTGGAGATGGTACAAGTATGCTTTGAAGCTGGGCTCTGTGGCTCAGCCTGTAATCCTGCGCCTTTGGGAGGCTGAGGTGAGTGGATTGCCTGAGCCCGTGGGTTCGAGACCCGCCTGGGCAGCGAGACCTCATCTCTACAATAAATCAAAAAATCAGCCGGGCGTGGTAGCGCATGCCTGTAATTCCAGCTACTCGGAAGGCTGAGGCGGAAGGATCACCGGAGCCCAGCAGGTCGAGGCTGCGGCTGCTGGGAGCGGCCACTGCACTCCAGTCTGGGCGATGGAGTGAGACTCTAACTCAAAAAAAAAAAATAAAATAAAGTATGCTTTGAGACAAATGAATGGGGGATTGTCCTTAAATGCTATTAAGTATCATCACTATTAACAGTGATGTCACTTGATCAGTCTTTTGGATGTGCCCGATATGGGAAGAATATTTTGGTAAATATTTCGGATAATAACTGAGAAGAATTTCCCTGAGTACAATTTGATAGTTTAGCACATAAGTATCATGTTTGATAAGTAAAACTAAGCTTGTCACCAATGACCCTAATATCAGTCATAGTTAAGTGAATATCTTTGTGTTTTAAACATTTGTGTCATCATAATTTTAGTCTTTTACTCAAGTATTGTAAAATGTGTTATTTCCCATTTTTGAGTAAAATCTGGAGACTTACAACAATAATAACTAGCAACTATTGAGTATCCAGTATGTGTTGGGTAGTTGACTCTATTATTTCATTTATTAATTCATTCATTTCTTCCAAATATTCATCAACTCTATGTAGCAGATATTATGCCAGATATTAACAATATAAAAATGAAGAGGACATGGTCAATTAATGAGGTAGCCAGACACATACATAGATAATTGCAATTCAGAGCAGTAGGCTATGCTATGGAGAAAACACATAGACGTTGACAACATTGTCCCTACCCTAAAATTACTTACAATCTGGTTAAAGAATTAAGACAGAATCACACTAAAAATTAACCATCCACATAAGAATAGCATTCAATAAGGTACAAGTAAGTGGTATAGACATTAGGTGTTATTATTTGTCAGAAGAGACAGAGATTGCTCTACACTAGAAAGCTCAAACTGAAAAAGATACCTGCACACGCATGTCTATTGCAGCACTATTCACAATAGCAAAAACATAGAACCAACCATGCTGCCCATCAAAAGTGGTTTGGATTTTTAAAATGTGGTACATACACATGGGGGAATATTATGCAGCCATAAAGAAGGGCAGAATTATGAACTTTGCAGCAACTTGGTTGGACTTAGAGTCTATAATACTGAGTGATCTATCACAAACAAAGCACTGACTGTCACATGTTCTCACTCATAAGCACACCCTGAACAATTATCATAATACTATAAGAAAGAGATTGGCTCGCCGGGCTCGGTGGCTCAACCTGTAATCCCGTGCCTTGGGAGGCTGAGGTGAGTGGATTGTCTGAGGCCGTGGGTTCGAGACCTGCCTGGGCAACTTGGCGAGACCTCATCTCTACAATAAATCAAAAAATTAGCCGGGCGTGGTAGGCGCACCTGTAGTTCTGGCTACTTGGAAGGCTGAGGCGGAAGGATCGCTGGAGCCCAGCAGGTAGAGGCTGCAGTGGCCGGGAGCGGCCACTGCACTCCAGTCTAGGTGACAGAGTAAGACTCCAACTCGGGGGAAAAAAAAAAGAAAAAAAGAAAGGGATTGGCAGTAGTGGACACTGTCAGGGGAGGGAGGTAGGACACACTTCACCAATAAGGGTAACTGATCTCAAACCAGGTGAAGTGGGGACCAAAGTGAGACCCAAACTTTATCTATACAATAACCCTTTGTATACCTAATCCTGAATTATACCCCACATTTTTAAAAAGAAAGAAAGAAAGAAAGAAAGAAAGAAAGAAAGAAAGAAAGAAAGAAAGAAAGAAAGAAAGAAAGAAAGAAAGAAAGAAAAAGCAAGCTAGCTCAAATTGATGGTAGAAAGTGAGATTTCCAAACAGTGATATATTTGCAAGATATATTTGTGGGATATTTAAGGCCTAGCCTAGCTGAAATGAAATCTGGGCAGCTTCTAGACAACAGGGTTGGAAAGGTATTTGGGAGCTATTTGCATGGGGTCTTTTACACCCTTCTGTGTCTAGACTGTACCCTCAAGTGGAAGCATATGGGAGTTACGAGTGAGAGCTGTATATTCAGACTTGTTTGAGTTTGAATCTAGCTTTATAACTATTAAATACTTTATTAACCCAGGCAAGTTACTAACCTCTCTGTGTTTTAGTCATCTCACTGGAAAAGTGGGGGTACGCCTGGGCAGCGAGACCTCATCTCTACAATTAATCAAAGAATCAGCCGGGCGTGGTAGTGCATGCCTGTAATTCCAGCTACTTGGAAGGCTGAGGCGGAAGGATCGCCGGAGCCCAGCAGGTCAAGGCTGTGGTGGCCGGGAGCGGCCACTGCACTCCAGTCTGGGTGACAGAGTGAGACGCCAACTCAAAAAAAA